GGTTCTCATGAACTCATTTTAGCTCCGGCTCTTTTTGGTGTGAACGCGACATTTCGGAACTATATCGGAACTAAAGTGGGAAAAGTACTGCGGTGTGAACGCGCCTATTCAGTACAGCATACACAGAGAAGTTTGACCTCGGCAATTAACCCATAGCAGTGAGCATCTATTGTACAACGCCCAGGAAGAAAAGGGGGGTGGGGGAGGGGTGCCTTGCTCAAAGGCACCATGGCAGAGCCCAGGAGGTGAACTGGGCCATGTACCAGTCCAAACTCCATTCTTACGTCTGTTCGGGGACTTGAACCGACGACCCTACGATTCCCAGTTCAAGCCCCAACTGACTGAGCCACTGCTGGATGATAACTGAGTTGTATCCATAACAGTTGTCTGTATTAATGGTTTACTAAGGAGTGATATTGGCAACATATGGGCAGTGATAGGTGTCTATATTTGATATGTGCATGTACAGACTTGCATCTATTCTGTGTGCTGTTTACTGAAAGTATTATAACTGCGTGAGCTTGAGTTGTTGGACCGTTTAGTTATACCCAAAGCCACACATATGAAGCATTACTTTTGTAGAGTAATGTTGACTGTGTGCATATCATTAATAATAAGCCACTTCACTTACCCTGCAGATATGGTTGGATCTTGTAAATAGTTATTAGTTATAAAATAGTTATTTATTATTATTATACAAGACATTTAATGATTTGCTTTCTCTTTTCGAGGTGACATGAGCCTACGTTTATTACAGTTTTCCAAATTAAAGGCAGAGATATAAACAGTAGACATGAAATCCCCAATGTGTAAAACGTAACCCAATAGGACTTCTTTCTGCGGATTGATATGACCGCACATCGTCCCTTGGTCTGTTCTCGTTAGCAACGGTCATGTTATACTTAGCAGTGGTGTGTTATCGCAAATTAACAACCTCTGAAATGTCCAAATGGACCAATCAGAATGTAGTATTCATCTAAGCTGTGTAATAATGTCAAAGACAGCTTTTTGAGTTATTAACATCCATGTATGTATAGTGGCTTGCTAAGTTTAGTGTTGGTCTTGTTCAGGTTACAAATAGGAACTCCCAAAAATATCATACCTTAAGATTTCTGGTATTTCTGCTTCTTTATTTTCCAGTTAAATCCATCAGAAACCACATCTATAGATCTATAGATCGTGTTTTCCCCTCCAACGTCCTCGAGACTTCACTCCCAGTCTTGCCTCTTTACCATTCCTATCTCAAACACCAATACAAATAAAAAAGCCAATTTGCCGATGTCCTTGTGTGCGTTCTGTATTCACAGAGTTATTTATTCGTTCTGTTGCCTCCTGATGAAGTCTCCTTTTCATTTAGAGATATATTTCAGCACTTCTTCTTCTCAAATGGCTCTACAACGTGACATTAATGCCAGGAAAGTGAATGAAAGGGAAGTGAATTAGAGGGAAGTGAGGTAGAGGTCACTCTCACCTCGCTAAATGTGCGCCGTGCATGATTACTGCTCGATGACTGAAATTCCTTTTAATGTGGTGTTATATTGAAAGGACCTTGGAAAACATACAGTCTGCTTCTCACACACACACACACACACACACACACACACACACACACACACACACACACACACACACACACACACACACACACACACACACACACACACACACACATAGTGACTTGCATCTTTCAATAAAATATGATTGGACTCAGATGCAGCTTCACTTGAACAGAAAACGTTCACTTGACTTGTTTCTGGAAATCTGGACTTCTGGCTCTTGCCTCTCACAAATATGTAACCTTTGATATACATCTGAATCTTTAGTAGATCTGAGTTCATAACGTTTATTTTCACTCCCAGCTACTAAAACCTGAATACATGAGCTGGGTCTTGGCTGAAAGCTAGTTGTATGTATTTATGTGACCCACAGTTTCAACATAATAACTTAAATATAAAATGATCTCATGTGATTACTCTCACACAATCCTCTGAAGTATTTCAAAAATTATAAACAGGAAAAGTCTTTCTTATTTTACTTGAATGTGTTATAATCTGTTTATTTTGGGTGAAGGAAGAACATATTGAGTGTGAACATTCGTCTAGAGATAAAGTCAGTTGGCAAGTGCAGTAAAATGAAATATTATTCCATTTAATTTAATTTAATTTCAAACCTTTATTTAATCAGATTGGTCCCTTGAGATCATAGATCTCTTTTTCAAGGGAGACCTGCAGCCAATCCAAAGATTAGATTAAACATTTCATACAGAATGCTACTTATATTCTGGATTCTGATTGGTTAGCAGGTTTGCAAAGTGTTTGTGTACATGTCTAAGTTGATGCGCCTGTGTGAAATTATTAAGTAAAGACAGCAACCATGAAGGAAAGATAATGCAGAGGGATTTGACGTAACCAACAACAACAACAACAACAACAACCAATAAAGTAATTTAGAAATACAGTTTCTGCTCAGTGAGAGAACCCAAGTTTATTTAGCTCCTTTGTTGGTTAAGTTGTTACTCCTGTCCTGGCTCACATTCAAACTTGTTGGAAGGGTTTACTTCACCATGGGCCAAATTATTTTTCACTTTCTGTAATCATTCAAATGTGTTGGCTTGATAAACATACTAATAAATACTTTAAAAGGAGCACATATCAGTGATTCGGGAGGTCATCCTCTTCAAAGATAGACTTAAATTATATTTTGTGTCCATCTTTATCATCACACGCTGTATGGAACAACATAATTTCAAAAACTCATTCATTCATTTTTATTTTTTTGCTTTCCTTTCTTTTCTTTTTTTTCCACCTCACTCCTCTTCGCCATCATTATTTGATCACCAGAGAAGGATGTCGGATTGAAAACGTTCAAAAGAATATTAGATGCAGGAAATATGCCTTCAACATGCTGCAGCTGATGGCCTTTCCCAAATGTTACCGCCCACCGGAGGGGACGTACGGCAAAGTGGACTCCTGAGGACCGTGTGCCGTCGAACCAGTCAGTGTGGTTTTTCAGTAAATATTGATGCTTATAAATAATGTTTTACTGTTTGTAACCAAAGAGAAAGTGCTGCATTTTGTATCTCACTGTTGGATATTTTGTTTTTATAATCTGTTATGTGTGTGCCAAAACTCGTCATTTGTAAAAGGAATGCACTTTCCATGTTTGTGTTCCACTTCCTCTACAGTGCTAAAAAAGAACGTCTGTATGGGAAAGATAGATAGATAGAGCTGGTGGGCTTTGCAGTAGCTGCTTTCCACATGGACTAGTTAGCAAAATGTATAACGCCTATATTCTCTGAATTTTACATGATAAAAGATTTAAAACATGTCTGCAGTTCTTGACCAATCGACCTTAAAGGTGGGGTAGGTAATTTTGGAGAAACCAGCTCGAGTGCGCTAGAATTTGAAAATACACAAGCGGAAACAAATCTGCCACTTCCTTATAGAGCCCCTCCTCCAACACACACGAACGCGCACATGACCAATGAGGGCACGAGACTACGCTAGTGCACAGATGGAAGGCTGACAGGCAGGTAGGCCATCCAGTTATTTTAGCCGGCTCAGATGATTGGTCGTGCTTTTTACAGCGCCACGGCTTCCACGGATGAAAATATTTGTATGTATTGTCAAATCATTTAAGATATTCATTGCTATCGGGATGTTAAGAGCATTCCATGGAATATAACAAAAAGTGTTTCTGAAATAAATGACATACCCCACCTTTAAGTGGCATGACATATTCAGGTTTAATCTTCACCGATATTGTTTTTAGTTATCATATCTTTCCTTCATCTCTAATAAGTGACCAGTATTCAAAGGCACGTGTTGAGTCATGTTTCATACATTTTCTCTCGATGGTTGCACTTGAGCTTCTTAAATAATATGTTTATATATCAAGGTACAGGCCAGTGAAACCACGTGTGGATGTTAGGATAAGATGAGGACGTTGGACCATCATTTTCAAATGCTATTCCAATTTCATTATTTATTTTTGTACATTAAAATGTTTTTATATTCTAAGTGTTGAAAGCTTGGGCTTTAAAGCATGTTTGAAATGTATTGGCTGTGTTGTTAATTTGGCATATGAACATTTCTATTTGACATTAAATAAAACAATGAATTGATGTGGATATTTGTGATGATGTATTGTGCATGGTTTACATTCAAATTCACAGGTGTGCACTTAACTAAACAAGGTAACTTCTACTAGTTGAACACACATTTTAATTTAAAAAAAACACTTAAGTAAAGCACAGGAGAAAATGAGATGTTTTTCCTCTGGATAAATATGTATTAAAATTGCATGTTGAATAAAAACCTTGAATCCCCAACACTAAAACTGAGTAGTTCATAAATAAATACATATTTTAAGTATCAAATATTTACAGCTTTTAGACTTAAAAGGTGGTTTGAAAGATCGTCAATTGGTCCTTCAGCAGCAGCAGAAAAAAGGAAGTAGACTCAATGTGTGAGTCAGTTTTAGTAATGGTGAGTCATTGTTACAAATTGCCAACTTTGGTATTTAAGCTTCCTGCCCAAATGTATGATATACAGTATGTAACATGACATGTCTCTAAGTTGAAAAGAAAATAAGCTTTGTTTCCCTCAATTGGCACAGTTAAAGAAAGACTCATAGCTTCTAAATTACGGGATTTGAACCAACCTGAGCCCAAAGCCACATCTAAAACTTCTCACCTCTGATGTCTCGTATATTGTTGAATACACTTGCCCTAAACTGCCTCCGGAACCGTCAGAAATGTGATCATTATCAGTCTTGTTTGATGACTCATCGCTACACCGTTGGTAAAAAATAAATTAGGCTTCAGCGGAGCTCTTTGTTTAACACGACATAAAAATATGTATGGTCATTGAACAGAACTTTTGTAATTTTACAAGAAGTTAACAAACATCAGGAGGCTGCTGTCCGTCATTCTGATGTGGCATCTCTGACCTGGACTTCTTCCAAGGTCATCTCTAAAGTGGTTTTGTCGCACTTTAATTGAATTTCTCTGGTATCAAATTCCCAAAAGGGCATCATATAATGAAGCACAGGATTATCACCCTTTTTCTTTGCCTTTCATACCAAATTAAAGGTGCCCTGTCGAATTGTTAACCTGCGCTATGTAGCAACTCCACATTGTTGTTTTGGTTTAATGCCCAAATATGAGCAGATATTTGTGCAAGCACGCATGTAGCACATTCCACATCTTGTCCTCGGGCTACGCCAGGTGATAATGGAAATGCAACATGAAGCACAGCAATGTGCCAAGAAAGGTTGTGAAGAAGACCACTAGCAAACAAATAGGGAAGAAACCAATGCACAATTACTTGTTTAAATGTTTTATGAGGAAGGAAATGCACTCAGTAAGTGTGTTAGACCACAAAGATAATGATAAGTGAGTGCGTTCAAACAAACTTTAGCCCTTAATATCTCCATAATGACTTTTATATGAGGCCAGCCTGCAACAAAAAAAACATGGCCGCCGACTGCTACATTATCCGGACTGATGCTGCTTCGTCCAGTAAATACATTCTAGGACACATTCCCAGTCGATTACTTTGTGACATGATTCTTATATTTCTTCATACCTCATGATTGATAAGATAACTTCCTAGACTTCTAATATCCTGTTTTCTCGCTGTCTGATAACCAAACTCTCAGATCTATTCTGCATCATATTACATTTCTATCCGACTCATCACACCTGCACCACACACGCTTGCATTGTTTAAACATAAGCCTAATGCCATCTGAATTTCCACAATCCCTGAATGTAAACTCGACTGAACTAAAAAGCAGTTTTGACAAAACCTTGAGATAAAAGAACCACAAAAACAATGAAAGACTTAATTGTTGGAATATAATTTACTGGATAAGCAATGATTCTGAAGATACTGGAGCTCATAAGGCATATACTGCGTAAATGTGACATTCAGTAGTGTATAGCAATGAGCTTAATAATATTATACATTCTGTATACACAGTAGTAGTACTTGATACTTCTCTTTAAACAGTACAACTGAAAGGCAGATTGTGGCACATAGAGACTTCCTCTGTACAGTTCAAAGCAATCATTCTATACATTTAGATTCACTTTGATACAAAATACCGGACGGCATGCGTACACAGCGTTATATTTACAAAATAAAAACAAATTCTTTACAGATATTTACAAATGAACATATGTGGCTCACAGTATTTACGTCATACGACTTTTCATTTCTTGCAAAAAACGTTGCAGTCTTTCTGAGAATCTTGTAATATTTACAAGGGGGTACGATTCACATGGTCGTCGACAGCCATCCTGAAATTCAAAAAGACACAATCAACATGAATCTATATAAAAACACAAACAGTAATATAGCACAGAAGCTTTGTGTAATGTAAGTTGACATAAAACAGGACATAGAAATAGAAAAACAGGACTTACAGTATTATGTTTCGGGTGAAATTTGTCATTGAAGTGTAAGATGTAGTCAGAGTCATCAGATCTCATTTCTTCTTCGTGTATGACCATTACCAACTCCAACATGTAACATTTGAGAGACATGTTCAGTTTACATTCCTCCTAGGAGAGAGAGGAATGCCTCAGTATGGACACATTAGGTTTATTAAAACAGTTATAAACAAGTATTCACATATTTGTGTGGCTGTGTCAGACCTTTGTGCACATCATGCAGGTTTAAACAGCTCAAAATCAAGACGTAACATGAATTCTGTCTTAAGTTGTGTATTTTTTATATTACCACTAAGGCCTGGGGTTTCATATTTTAGGGGAATGCCACTTGGCTTTTGAGGTTATTATTTTTTTCAGAACACCAAGTCCGAAGGCAGCAAGGACATCTAAAAATGTTAAACTACACCGTAGTAATGATTTAACGAAAGGATGTAGCCATTTGTGTCAAACTATCGTCGTCAATAGCCCAGTTTTCTGCCAGGCCAACAAACCCACCTCTCGTTATGTGCACAGCGTTTACAAATGGGATGTTGCTCAATAGGGCTTCAGAATTTCAGTAAGAGACACTTGTGTCTTTTTACCAGGTAGGTTTACACTTGTCATCAAGGCAGTATCTAGGCTGCAGGGCATATCACTTAAACATGTTCTTTTAGCTAACATCAATGTGGTGCTAATCTCAATAACTGGAAGGCTTTATACTTATTCTTTGAATGGCTGAAAAAGCCAAAGTCAATGGTGTGGACTTCACAGACAATACTGTTGTTTTGGATACTTTATACTTACTTTTAGGACGTTACGAAAAATAGACAATCAATAAGCATCTTTTACGTTTTTATTGTCGACATGTGAAATGATTTTGTCATTTAAAAAACAATAATTGTATCGTGTACTTTTACAACTTACATCAGCGTCATTAATTACTTCATTAGGAGCATACAGCATAGCGTCAGAATTCTGAAAATGGAAAAGAAAGACTCAGATTAGACACATTTCAATGTTTTCAAATGTAAAACCAAGAAGAAACAATCCACTGCAGGTGAAACTAGAGTTAGCCAACCAGTCAAGCAGCATGTACGTCATCACTAGATATTTCCTTCCTATTTGACATCGGTTTACATTATAATTACAGTAGGATACACATTTTTGAGCCATTGTCCAAAATATGTTTTGTGATGTCACTGACCTTTCCCCATGAATATTGAATCATTGGCCGAATTCAAAGAAATCTGCTTGAGGCTTTCCGGGAAATTGGACGTGAAGTCACAGTGACCTGTACCTTTAATAACTAAAATATACTCCGTTCATCCTTGAGTTCAAGAGGAAAATTGGGCCAAATTGAAAGAAATTCCCTCAAGGTGTTCCTTAGATATTTTGTTCAGACTAATGGGGTGACGGACGTACAGTAATAAATGACTCTAAGGCTTACAGTTTTTCTCGATCGCTAACAAACTAAAATAATACATAAAGCACAATTATTTTAACTGACACTCAAAGAACAAAACATCGGCTCAAATCTCCAAAACTCTAAACACAATTTGCAAATCAACGTGGCACTTTCTGCAAACCACTGCACACGTTTCTCCACGTAAGACACAGGAATCTGACATAAAGTCACGTGTTAGCAGGTTTAAAACACTGATATACAAAATGCCTCACACATGGAGCAATAATCAAGAAACCAATCCACCTGACCAAACACCTGATAGCATAATTGTTGGCTCATCAATCAGGATGTTAGCACTTTAAAAAGACCAGAGGTGAGTACTTTCTTACAGCAACAATGGAAGCCAACATGGAAGCAAGAGCAAGAGGAAGAGGAAGAGGAAGAGGAAGAGCTGGGCTGAGAGTGAGAGGAGAAGGAAGAGTAC